CTTTTTGGGACACTACAGCAAAAAACCCTCTCAGAATTAGAAAGATATTGTTGCAGAGAAAGAAAATGGGTAGAGATTTCCTACTTAATGGCTTTTGTTGAGCTTTCTCCTGACCCCATTCTCAGAAAAGATTGTAAGATGCTCATAGCTAGAGCTATCCCACTAATGGGGAATGGGGATCAAATGGACTTTTTGGATGATCCTCTTCTTATGGTTCCCAGGGTTATGGTACCCCTGTCTTCCCAGCCTCCATCAGCACCACTTCCCCAGCACCTATCTCCACCCCATTCTCCTCTGGCCTCTCCAGCTTGTGAGAAATGATCTCTCAGAAGTGAAGCCTCCTCAAAGGGTTAATAGTTCTTGTTAATAGTTCTCATAAAGGATAGCAATTAGGAGATCACTGGTCATTTGGAGAGAGCTGTCTCAGTTAAATGATAAGGTCAGAAGCCAGATAGTAAGAGGTTAAGAAGAGAGTGAAAGGAGAGAAATTGGAGGCACCTGTTGTAGTGGCCTTCTCAAGTAATTTAGTTGTATTGTTGAAACACACTCCCTTCTGACCTTGTCAAACCCCTCCTCCATCCTGTTTTTTTTTCAAGCACATAGCAGAAAGAATAGCTCTACCCCCAACCTAAATTGTTTACCCTTGCAAAACTTCCCACCTTTTTGTTGCCGGGGAAGATTTCTGTGAATAGATTGTGCCCCCTGAAGCCCAGCCAATGGGATAAGGGGAAGGGGGTTAGGGAGGAGGTGATGCTCGAGTTAGGGTATAAATAAGCCTTGCTTTCTGTAACCAACTCGTACCCCCTGGCTGTGCTCCCTGGCCGGTGCCATTAGTGGGACGAGGGGCAGTATCCTTTCTCATGAAAAAGCAATAAACTCCTTTCTGCTTTCAAGGTATCTAAGTCTTTGTCTTGATTTTGAGTAGTGGTCTCTGTCCCACACAAGTTAAGTGACTTGCCTAGGGTCACACAGCTAATAAGTGTCAAGTGTCTGAGGCTGGATTTGAACTCAGGTCCTCCCAACTCCAAGGCCAGGGCACTATCCATTGTACCACCTAGCTGCCCCAAGTCCCCCTACTTTTAAAAAAAATGGACAAATCTAATACCTAGAGAGGACAGCGAGGTGGTGCCATAGTGGATAGAACACCGGGCGTGGAGTCAGGAAGACTCATCTTCCTGAGTTCAAATCTGGCCTCAGACACTTACTAGCTGTGTGACCCTGGGCAAGTCACTTAATCCTGTTTGCCTCAATTTCCTTATCTGTAAAATGAGCTGGAGAAGGAAATGGCAAACCACTCCAGTATCTTTGCCAAGAAAACCCCAAATGAGGTTCACAAAGAGTTGGACATGACTCAACAACAACAAATAATAGTAATACGGAATTACATAAATTCTTTCAGATCCATCTGAACATTCGCTGACGTCTATCCATACGGCTGCCTAAATACAAAGGTTTTGGATACATTTTAGTACTAGGATTTGGACATGTTTAGTAACAGGCCTTTGATATGTTTTAGTAACTATCTTTGGATATGTTTTAGTGATCACTGATAAAGTCTTAGGTTGGATTGAGGTTCTCACATATAGAATTGTTTTTCATTGTCAAGAAACTTTTTATGGGGGCATGTGCCAGCCGCGCCGTGTACTCTCCTCCTATAAGGAGCAGGCTGCCAGAGTCATACTTACCAGTCTTCGGTCCCCAACTGGATAAACACAGAGACGAGCCTACCAGGAGGTGCCAACACCCGAGCTTTATTCAGAGGCCATCACAGCAAGGCCAAGCAGGAAGGCCAGAGCAACAGAGCAGGAGCAAAGACAGAGCGTGATCCGACCACGACCATTCCTTAAGTACCTACTTAGCCCCTCCTCCTCAGCCCGCCTACTAGTCAATGATTGTAGGGTCAGATACCGGAAGGGGATGTCTGAGTTTAGCGCACCAAGGGAGAGGAAGTGACGCAGGAGGCTAGGACTGGATACAGGAAGGAGACGTCTGGGATTAGTGCATAGACAAAGAGTAGGTGACCTAGGAAGTCAGGCCCAGATACCGGGAGGAGGCGTCTGGGGTCAGTGCTACACAAAGGGAAGGTACGTGACCCAGAAAGTCAGGAAGGACACAGGAAGGAGGCGTCTGGGGTTGACATTGCATATAGGGAGGGGACTAAGCAAAGGGAACTCGTCCTCTGCTGTCCCACTCCCACGTGTCACAGCCCCCTGCCTCAGGAGCACATGCTCTGGCTACTTCCTTGTATCCTGTTCCTTCCCCAGCTTATCGCAGCTCACATAGCACTGCCCACTGCCTCAGGACTTCTCCGTATCCAGCCCATCCCAGTTCACCACAATTCTGCCTACCACAGCCCCTGCCTCGGGAGCGTGAGCTCCGGTTACTTCCTAATACCCAGTTCCTACCCCAATCTTGCCACAACTCCCACTTGGCAGTAGCCAACATCAGACAGTCCCTCACAGGGGCAGCTAGGTGGCTCAGTGGATAGAGCACTGGCCTTGGAGTCAAGAGGACCTGAATTCAAATCTGGCCTCAGACACATAACACTCACTAGCTATGTGACTCTGGGCAAGTCACTTAACCCTAATTGCCTCACCAAAGAAAGAAAGAAAGAAAGAAAGAAAGAAAGAAAGAAAGAAAGAAAGAAAGAAAGAAAGAAAGAAAGAAAGAAAGAAAGAAAGAAACTTTTTACTACTACACCTGGAAGTATCCCCGATCAAATTATTTTACAAAGTCTGATTCTTCCTCTAGCCTATGGATGGTATTATCCATCGTAGCTCTGGTGCTTACAAGGTTTGAACTGACTTTCCTCATGTGAACTAATTACTGGAATGTAATTAGATTTTGACAATATCTACTGAATTATACTGTCTTATCACTAGCCTGCTTAATTGGCATTATTAGGGAACTTCTACAAGGGACTGGGACCTGGGAAGTGAATCTACTGAGAGGAATACCCCTTCAAAACTGCCCTAGGAGCAAGGTCCATTTCAGGTGTTGTTAACAAGGGACACTCCAGTTAAGGACTCCAGGATGTTGATTCAGGATGCATGTCTCTTAATGAGTCTAAATGACACAAAATTTCCAAAGGAAAATATTTCCCAGAAGTAGATGACTTCATGAGGTAGACAGTTAAACCCAAGACAACAGGATAAGAAATCTACTGTTTAAATGAACATTAATTAAAAGTTGCCCCTATGTGTCTGATCAAACCCTTAATATTTCCCCAGCACTTGAATTGCTTTGGGGAGCTAGGGAAGAATCTGAAGAAGCTTAAGGTTGGTTGCCAATAATGGGTTGGATCAAGGAAATGCTAATGATTGCTATTGTATTATTTTTGCTTTACTGTTATATTGAATGCTTCCCAATGCTTATATCTGTGGAAATGTTCATCAAAAAACTTAATGCATCCAAAGAGAAGTTTGATAGGTTGTACATGAATATGGCTGAGATACGCGTGTCAGGCAATCAATAACCAAAAGCGAGAGTGTGGTAAGAGAATATTTCTGTATTGGCTTTATGACCACCATTTCGTTAAGACAGCTAGCTTAGAAGTCAACTAGCTAGAGTCAGCAAAATCAAGCTGTGACATCAATTATAGCCTTGTTGCTATCTAATTAGTTCCTACTCCATCTGCAAATTCCAGTTAAATCCCCTAGTATTTGCTGATCCTTTTATTATTTTATCTGATGTAGAACTTCCCCTTTTATTATTTCTTTGATGTGCAAATCTTTACCTTCTCCTTTGCCCACTGTAAAATTCCAACTAGACTCAACTTGCTAACGTAATTAAAGACTATCTAGGGTTTCTGAAAATGCTATTCAGGATCCACTGGTTTTTGGGTACCATGGGACCATGCTATGAGCATGTAATAAACTGGTTACTAAAATGCCTTTGCATGTTGATCAGCAGAAGTTATTTATCAAAAAATCCCTGAATATTTTTATGTCACAGTCCAAGACCCAGACCTTGAACCCAAGAGCCTTGGGAATAGCCATGCTTCCAGCTTAGTGTCCTCAACCATCATCCTGAGAAGCAGCCTCCGTGGAGATGCAGCCTGGCCACTGTTCCTGCAGGAGCTGCAGCCACAGCTACTTAAGACTCAAAAAGGAAAGTACTTGTCACCAAAGTCCTTGGTCCTGGCCAATGGTTCCACACAAAAACTGATATTATGTTATCAATGGAAATAACATTAAAGAAGAGGTATTACCATTTGTTTGGCCATTGCACCCTAAGGCCCATGGGACTTTTCCGGCTGACTTGCAACTGAAACTTTCCTATGTGTTGTCTGCCCCATTATATTGTGAGCTCTTGGAGAGTTAGGGACTGGCTAACTTCTATTTACCACTGCTGAAATGCCTGCTTCTGGGAGAACTGTGAGGGCGCGTAATTGAGGGCGAGAGTAGAAGCGCGACTCGTCCCGGAGCCGGAGGGGCCCTCGGGTAGCCTGAGGAGCCCAACCCCCCCATTTGCCCCGGAGGAAACTGAAATGCAGGTAGGCCGAGAGCCCCAGGTTCACTGACCTCGAACTGGCAAGGTCTCTCGGGAGCCGCCTTCAAAGTCCCGTCCCAGATGAGCGGTTTCCGCCGGGGCGGGGGGATGACGTAGGAGGCGGGCCTGTGACGCCAGGGGGCGAGATGCGGCCAGGGCCCTGGGTCTCCTCAGGGCTCTCTCCAGACACCAGTGGCCCGGTATCCTCGCGAGAGGCGTGAGGCTAGACCCACGGTCCCCAGACTGAGCAGGCGCCATGGCGGCTGTGCCGCCCCCCCAGCCGCCGCCGCCGCCGTCGCCGCCGCAGCTGCCGCCGTCACTGCCAGCGGCCGAGGACGCGGGCGCGGGCGCGCGCTCCCCAGGCACCTACAGGCCTTTTGAGCCGCAGGCGCTGGGGCTGAGCCCGAGCTGGCGCCTGACGGGCTTTTCGGAGCTCAAGGGCTGAGGCTGCAAGGTCCCGCAGGAGGCGCTGCTCACGCTCCTGGCGGGACTGGCGCGGCCCCTTGTGGCTCCGGCGCCCGAGCTCTGCCCCGCGCCCGACGGTGGCGATGGCGGGGACGGGGCCGCGCCGGATGGCCCCGGCCCGGCTTCCCGGGCCCTTGGTGAGTGCAAGTGCGGGCAGTGTGAGAGGACAGGGGAGGGGGTAAGGGGGACCATGGAGGGGGGTCGGAGGGGGAGGGGGCGAGGGTGAGAGGAAGGAGGTGGGAGGCGGGAGGAAGAGGCTGGGGGGCAAAAGAGGAGAGGAAAGCAGAGGAAGGAGGTGGGAAGAGGGGGCGAGGGAGAGAGGTGGGGAGGGGAGGCTGCATCTCCAGAAGAGGTGGGCCAGGACCCAGAGGTTGGGGAACGGGAAAGAGAGAGAGCCCTCTGACACTCCCCCAAGCCTCCCCTCCCAGGCCTGGCGGGGAAGTGTTCAGGGTCGTACTGAGGGCTTGAGACTCTCAGAAAAGGTATCCCTGGTTTAGTTCAAAGTTCTGGAGCTCAATAGATTTACAGCTCTGAGGTCATAGAGACCAGTCCCCTTCATTTGACAGAAGGAAACTGAGGCCCTGGGAGGAGAAAAAATTACCTACAGTTACCCAGGGACTAGGTGGCAGAGCCTGGGATTTGAACCCAGGTTTTCCTGCACTCTCTTCCCTGGACCTTACTGACTTAAATTCTTATTAATTTATTTATTTATTTTTGAATTAATTTTTAGTTTTTAACGTTTACTTTCATAAACTTTGGAGTTTTAGATTTTCTCCCCCTCCCTCCCCAAGATGGCGTGCAATCAGATATAGGCTCTACATATACATTCCTATCAAACATTTTCACATTACTGACTTAAATTCTTAAAAGAGAATGTTTGCGATGATTGTGCTCTGGATTTTAGTCTCCTGTTGCCCCCAGGACTTCCGGTTGTTTTTTTTTTTGTGAGGCAATTGGGGTTAAATGACTTGCCCAGAGTCACACAGCTAGTGTTATGCGTTGAAGGTCGCATTTGAACTCAGGTCCTCCTGACTCTGGGGCCAGTGCTATATCCACTGCGCCACCTAGCTGTCCGTAGAACAGCCAACTTTGCCACCTAAACCTTTACATCAAGGATTACCCATTGTTTCCTAAGCTCTGAAAGGGGCGTTGGACTCCTCAGGATTCTAGCTATGCTGCGCTCCCCCATTCTGGCAAAGAGAAAGTAAATGACTTTTAGCCCCACAGCCCTTCTTTATCCAGCCTGGAAATGGAGAGGGAGGGTTGGGAAGAGGGAGGCCACCTTCATCCTAGAGATTGATCTTTTGCCCTGAATTCACGAGAACTGTCACAATACTAGAAGCTTCTTTGACATTGGGAAGGACTTATTTCTGAAAACTGTTTATGGAGTAGGGAGAATGGGCTAGAGCCTGGGAAGGATCTAATATCTTAGTCTTGGGAGCAAGCAGGATGTAGTTGAGAAGGGAATGCAGAAAATTTGGATTAGACCTGGGATGGCCAGCAGCCAGTGGGAGAGGTTTAGCTCTTGGCATTGAAATTGCTTGTCTCTCATGTAGGGATAGGAATGGATTCTTGTGTGATTCCCTTGAGACATGGAGGTCTCTCACTTGTGCAAACCACAGACTTCTTTTACCCTTTGGTTGAAGACCCTTACATGATGGTAAGTGTGAAGAGGAAAACAAACTTCTACCAGGTAGCCTGAAGGGGAGTGTCTCTAGCAGCCACACTGGCTGGGCCACAAATGGTCTTAGGCCAGAAACTCAAAGCCCCCTCCCTGTGCACTGTTCAGTTAGCTTGTTGCCCTCAGTGTAGCATGGAGTTCCAGATTCTCTCCTTCCCCCTTCTACCCATTGAGAAGGCAAGAATTACAATACCCATTCATTATACATGTGAAGTAATGTAAAACATTTCCACATTAGCCATGGGGGGGGCAGGGGGTAGAGGGGGAAGGGGCAGCAGGAAAAGCAAGAAAAATAAAAGAAAAAAAAAGTGCTTCAGTCTACACCCAGAGTCCATCAACTGTCTCTGGAGGTGGATTACATTTTTTTATATTTTTTTTTCATCATGAGTCCTTGGAAATCATCGTTGATCATTGTATTGATCAGAATGGCTAAGTCTTTGACAGTTGATCATTGTTACAATACTACTGTTACTGTGTATAGTTTTGCTTGTTTTGCTCTCTTCACTTTGCATCAGCTTATATGTCTTCCCAGGTTTTTCTGAAATCATCTTCTTCATCATTTCTTGTAGCATAATAGAATTCCATTACATTCATATAACAGCTTGTTTAGCCATTCCCCAATTGATGGCATCTTCTCAGTTTCCAATTCTTAGCTTCACAAAAAGAGCTGCTGTAAATATTTTTTTCCATATAGGTCCTTTTCCCTTTTCATTGATCTCTTTGGGATACAGACCTAGCAGTGGCATTGCTGGGCTAAAGGGTATGCAGTTTTATAGCCCTTTGGGCCTAGATCCAAGTTGTTCTCCAGAATGGTTAGATCAGGTCACAACTCCACCAGTACAACACAGATGTTTTTCAGGACCTTGCCTGCCTGCAACTCTGGGCCCACAAGCTGAGTGGTAGAGAGGGAAAAAACAAAAAACCAATGCAAGCCTGGTAATTGGGAGACCTGGGGCCTAGACTTGAGTAAACAGCCTACTGTCTGACCTGGGCTCTTTTTTCCTCTGTAAAACAAGGGTCAGCCTCAATGATTCTAAGGTTTGTTCTAGCTTTTGTGCCCATTACTGCCCCATAAAGGGCCAAGAGTTTGCAGGTCTAGCCCTGGGATTGAGAATTTTTTTTGTTAACAGGTCACCTTATGTAATGGGGCTCATCAGCTGCAGGTCATGTGCCATGGCTCCTGGCTGACTGGTTGTGTGCTTCCTTTTCTAGGGACGAATTGCCTGTGCCAACGTGCTCAGTGACCTCTATGCCATGGGCATTACTGACTGTGATAACATGCTGATGCTCCTCAGCATCAGCCAAAAGATGAACGAGGAGGTGAGGGGGGGGGGGAGGAAAGGGAGACTTTGAAGAAGTGGGCCAGGCTGAGGTCATGGGTCAGTACAAAGCAGTTCTTGGCTGTTTTAAGACCCACAAGGATACACTAGCTTGGGCTCATGTACTGAGTAGTTGATTTTCCTTTATAACTGTTAGGATCATACTGCTTTTAAGAAAAGACTCAAGAAATACTTTTTTAATGGAGAGAGAAGCCCTTTAAGTAAAACTGATTTTATAAGGTTCACGTTTTTTTTTAAAACTTTACTACTGGCTAAGGGATAGTAATGATTTAGGGGAGGCTGTGTGATACAGTGACCAGAGCTCTGGATTTGCTATCTCCTGATAGCAAAGACTTGGCTTTGAATCTCACCTGAGAAATTTACTAGCTGGGTGACCCTGGATAAATCACTTGACATGTCTGGGTTTTGGTTTCTTTATATGTAAAATGAGGTGGTTGGACCCTCTGATTTCCAAAGTCTCTTCCAGCTCTGTTTGTACTCCTATGATTTTTCAATGTGAAAGACATTTTCTTTTCCTACAATGTAAACTTGAATTGGTTTTCCCCACCCCTGTCCCCTATTTGATCTGTTCCACCCAAGTACTCATGCCAAAAATCTCAAGGAAGGTCCCTGAGAACTCTCTCATTCCTTTATTTTGTTTTAAATGTGACACCTTATACATTCACTGAGGTGCCAATGGAAAGGAAGCTCCTTGAGGGCATTGCTTTTCCCTTTTTCCTTTATCTCTACTACCTGTTACAGCCCATCAGCTTAGGGCTTTACCATTGTTCACTGTCTGTGGAAGGCCATGGCAGAGTCTGCCATCAGCTGTTTGGTAAATACCTTCTTTGTGGGAGGCCCCAGGCTATAACTGGGGAGAGACACAATCATGCAGAACAGAGAGAGGTTACTTACTTGTAGCACCTCTTGGTGCTTGTAAGCCTACTGGGGAGATGAGATGGATTCTGTCTCTATGAGAGAGACAGAATACAGTTCAATATACCAGGACATCTATCACCAGGCTGTGAGCAGTAGTGTCCAATGAGTGTCCTAGGATATACAGGAGGGAAATATCCCTGAGGCTTTGTGAAAGAGGCATTGCGGTGGAGCCAGATTTGGCTAGGAAGAGGAAAGGGAGAAGATATTCCATGTGGGAGGGTCAACCTGATGGACTTCTCTTCCAGGAACGAGAAAAGATCATGCCCCTGATGGTCAAAGGTTTTCGAGATGCTGCTGAAGAAGGAGGAACCTCAGTGACAGGGGGACATACTGTGATAAACCCTTGGATTATTATTGGAGGTGTTGCTACTGTGGTCTGTCAGCCTAATGAGTTCATCATGTGAGTAGACGTACAGAGAGCTAACAAACCAGAAATGTTTGTTTAATATAGAATTGAAAGCTGAAAGGGACTTTGGCAGTCATGTAGCCCAACTCCTTCGTTTTAGTTGAAGATGAAGGCTCAGCAGGGCCCCTCTCTCTCTTTATTTTTTAGGTTCTACTTTGTGTTACTTTTCTTTCTAGATGGATAACCACCTAAATAGAAAGAAGAAAGTGAATTCTTTACAAAAATTGATCTTCCTGGCTTTCTCATGGTACCTCCAAGACCTCTGAGGCCTATGGAGCCTTCCTCTTATGGTCCCTTTGCTTTATTTCAGTGAGAAGATATCATGGAGAGTACTAGACTTGGCATCAAGAACACCTGGATTCAGATTCTACCTCAGCAAGTTGTTTAGCTTCTGTCAGGTTCAGTTTCCTCATCCATAAAATGGAGATTATTATAATAGCAACTGCCTCACAGGGGTAATGTGAGGATCCAATGAGATCTTATCCATAAAGAGCTTCACAAACCTTCAGGTTCTTGAGAGATGTTGACCTCACAGGGTTGTTACCAGGAAACCCCTTTATAGACAAAGCCCTTTGACCTTTGTAGACATTATTGCTCTCAACCTTCTGGGGAGCAGCTAGCAGGCACCATAGTACACAGAGCTCAGGCCTAGAGTCAGGAAGATCTGAGTTCAAATCTGGCCTCAGATACTTACTAGCTGTGTGACTCACCTCTGTTTCTTCATTTGTAAAATGGGGATAATAACAGCACCTACCTCTCAGGTTTGTCGTGAAGATCAAATGAAATAGAAATTAGTTAGCATGGTGCCTGACACATAGTAGACACTATATAAATGTTAGCTATTATTTTGCCATTTCCAGCCTGTGTACCACTGGCCAGGGCAGGATAAGCTGGAGACTTTGGGATAAGGGCTACTTTTCCAAAGTCACGCTCATGGATCCTCCTTGGACTTTTTCATCATTACTGGAATTGAATTGACAAGAGCAAGCTAGAGCCTTGTGGGCCACTTTGTTGCCAGAGGCAGAAAGCAAGCAGGCAGTATTTAGTTGCCTTGCATGAAGAATCTAAGCCTTCTGGGGTTCAAGGCCCCTTGTCTCCTTTTCCTTTTGGTGCTTAGCTGCTTCTTTCTTTCTCTAGAGATTGCACTAAGCTCTGAGTTATCAAGGCATAGTCAGGGACTCATGGCCCATGTTCTATCCCCTCTGCTCCCTAAGGAACTCACCTAGTACATCTTTTGCTGATGGAGGGGGAGTCACAGGCACTCACCACCCAGATGCCAGCACTTGCACTCAGAGCTTGACCATGAATTAACCTAGGGACTCTGTAGATTCCTGAGAATCCATTCATTTGTTCACTTAGATATATCAATACAAAACACTGCATTAGCCTACCCACTGCAAGTATCCCTGGAACAAAGATGTACTCTGTAAGCAAACAGAAGTGCTTTCTTTTTCAGGCCAGACAGTGCAGTTCCTGGGGACGTGCTTGTGTTGACCAAACCATTAGGAACCCAGGTTGCTGTCAATGCCCACCAGTGGCTGGATAATGTAAGCATGGGGAACCCAAGCTGGTCTCATTGACAATAAGCTATTGTATTAACATCCAGGAGAACAAAAGTACAAAATCAAGCAAGGCATCTGTGAAGTTGTGAGCCATAAGTCTTTAGTAATGACATGACCATGGGAACGAAGCCAGACACAGAACACTTCCTGGAAGTTCAGAGATTGTTTAGTGAGAATAACAAGAAACTTGATGATTTCTTTTACGAAGCATTTGCTATGGGCCAGGCACTGGGCTAAGGGCTGGGAAATACAAAGAAAAAGCAAAAACAGACCTGTCCTCAAGGAGCACACCATGTTTTAATGTAATATAACCATTCTCACCTTTGTCCTCACGGTCAGAGAGTCAGGCCTGCTAAGGATTCACCAGCCCTGGAGCTGCTAACTCAGCAGATGCTTGTGATCAGACGTCATGAAGCTTCTTGTTACTCCCACTAAATAGTCTCTAAACTGTGCTATGTCTGGCTTTATTCCCATGGCTATGTCATTTACTAAAGGCTTAATGGCCCACAACTTCACAGAGAAAGAAAGAATCAAAGGCAATGGAGATGAAACCAGAGCCAGGGATTCAGCATCTTCTTGGCTTCTCTCAATTTATGCCAGTAAGAAACCCCTTCATTGGAAGAGGCCTGCTAACTTGACGGTAAACAAAAGGACAGGTGAAAAAACTCCACTCGGACTTTGGCCCAAGATTTCTGGCTTTCTCATTGGACTGTTTCAGCATCCCTACCCCTAAGGCTGAGGGACCTCAGCCTTCCTACCAATGAATTTGATCTGTTCGTCCTGAGAAGAGCAGAAGCAAGGCATACTCATATAAGTGATGAGCCAGAACCATTGCCACTGTAACAGTTGGCACAGGCTTTAGCACCCTGCTCTGCTCCCACCCTCACTTAAAATGAGGACAGACTATTGTTAGTTCTTAATCATTGGCACAAATGGAGAAAGAACAGGCATAAGTAATAGAAAACTTACTCTGATTTTGGAACTTTGGACCAATACACTGAAACTACTCATGGAATTGGAGTTAGCAACTGAGAAGCTTCCTGTGTAATATGCTTAGGCCTTCTTGGTCCTCGGGCCTTGCTGTTAGCCCAGCACCTAACTGGATAGCTAACAGCTCCTTGGATCCTAGCCTCATCTATATGCCTTACATGATTAAGAACATTGATCTCATTAAGAATAATGACCTCATTATTGGAAGCAGAGAAAGCCATTGTGGCTCATGGCATTGGGGAAATCAAATGCTTTCAGTCTGGGGATGATATTATCTTTCTTTTCTAGCCAGAAAGATGGAATAAAATAAAGCTGGTGGTGTCCAAAGAAGACGTCGAATTAGCCTATCAAGAAGCAATGTTTAGCATGGCTATGCTGAACAGAACTGGTAAGAGCCCTTAGAATTCTGTAACATCTCACATCTCCAAAGGAGTACTTTCCTTCCAGCCCTGTAAGGTACTGTTCAGTAGTACCGTCCCCATTTTATAGATGAGGCAACAGGCTCAGAGACATCTATGAAACTGGCCAACACACAGCTAAGGAGTGTTGGAACTGGAACTCATCCAGGTCTTCTAATGCTCTTTCTGCTGTTCCACATCAGAATCCTAATTCAGTATTGGAAAGCACTTCCTAAGTGTAGTTCAGTCACCTTTTTAGAGCTAGGAAAACAGATGAGACCCAGAGAGATCCCACTTGGGGGAACTGAGGCCCAGGGAAGGGAAGTGACTTGTCTGAGATCACTGACACAGCTCAGACTAGAAGCTCTGACTCACTAAGTCCTGTCATCTTTCCTTCCCCAAGGCCTAGTGAATAACTTCTTCCAAGAGGAAGCTACCTCACACTGTTAATAGCCATTGTACCTGTAGGACTTATATTTGAGGTGATATTAGCCTTTTTTTTTTTTTTAGCAGATTTTTTTTTCCAGTTCCAAATTCCCTTCCTCCCCCTACCCAATCCCCCACCCAGTGAAAAGGCAAAAAACCAAAATCTGTTGCAGATATGTATAGTCACTCAAAACAGGTGTCCACATGGGGGGGGGGGGGGCAGGGGGCAGGCAGGGCGTGGTAGGACAAGAGAAAGAAAGGAAAAAAAAACTGCTTCAGTCTGCCCTCCAAGTCCATCAGCTCTCTCTGGAGATGGGCGGCATGTTTCATCATAAGTCCTTTGGAATTGTGGTGGTTATTGTATTGATTAGAGGTACTAAGTCTTGTTAGCCTTTTTACTGATTCCTTTTGTTTGTATAAGTAATTTCAAACCCATTCTCCACCCCACCAATAGCACCAGGTTGACTTCCCTTGTGAGAGAGAAAAACAGTTAAGCAAAAACATTCAGTAGTGACCACATAGGATTTAAGTAAGTATCCACCATTCTGTCCCAGCAGTCCCCTGCTTCTGTTATGGAGGAAGAAGGAATGTTTATTTCACTATTTTCTCCAAAATCTACGTGGTTTTGTCATTACTTGAGTTTCATTTTAGTGATTTTTTTCCGTTTACATTATTGTCATTGTTTATATTTTCTTGGTTCTGTTTATTCTACTGTGCAACACCTCAGATCTTTGCATGTTTCTCTGAATCATTCATATTTGTCGTTTCTTACTACATTCATAAACCATCAGTTTTTCAGCCAATTCTTTTTTTTTCCCCCAGTTTTTTTCTACCACAAAAAGTATTGGTATGAATATTTTGGTGTATATTAGACCTGAATTTCTGTCTTTGACTTCCTTGGAATATATGCATAATGGTGAGATTGCTGGATCTGAGGGTATGGATAGTTGTCACTGTCTTGCTTAATTCCAAATTGACATCCAGAACAGCTGGACCACATCACAGTACCCCCAGCAACGTATCAGAGTGCTTACTCCTCCCACTGCCCTTCCAACATTAACTTCCCATCTTTTGGCATCTTTACCCATTTAACAGCTTAGGGATTTTGGAGTGTGTTTTCTTATGGTTACTTAGACTTTGTAATTCTTTTTGGGGGGAAACAGTATCTCTTGAACATTTGTCTATTAGGGAATGGCTGTCACTATTATGTATTTATGTCAATTTCCCATATATTTCAGATATTAGACTAATCAGTGATATTTGCTGCAGATTTTTTTAAGCTGGGAAGCAGTCATTACTTTTAAATGTTTCACTCCTAGTAAAGCATTTCAGTTCTTGGTCCAATGTTGACCTTGTAATTGAAGGCCTGGTTTTAGAGTGATAATGATAACTCACACTTCTGTAGGCCTTTATATACATTATAACCAAGGAAAATGTTCTTTTTCCTAGGATTTTGTTATTACTAGCTAGCATTTATATAGAGCTTTATGGTTTGCAGAGTCCTTTAGAGTGCTATCTTATTTAATCCTCACAATTCTGGGAGGCAGGTGCTCTGATAATCCCCATTTTACAGATGGGGAAACTGAGGCAGGTTGCGAGGTGAAGTGATTTGCCCAGGGTCACACAGCTAGTGAGTGTCTGAGGTGGGATTTGAACTCAGGACTTCCTGACTCCAAGTCCAGTACTCTCTGTTGTGCCACCTAGCTGCCTCTCAGGGATTTGAACATCAGGCATAAGATATTTCCAGGACTTTGATGAGACCATCTCCATTGCTGGAGATAACTCATAGGGTAGGAGGGTGGGGGAGTGGGGGAAATGGGAGGGAGGTTCTTCCAAAATAGCACATTAATATTAAATGGCAAAGCTGTTTTCCTTAATAAGTGAATAAAAGATATGAAAAGGTAGTTTCAAAAGAAGAAATGCAAGCTATGGGAAAAGACTCAAAATGACTAATTAGAGGAGTGCAAATTAAAACGGGTTATGCCTCATGTCATCACACCCTACTTATCCCAGTGATTCTGCACCTCCTGGCTGTCCTTGTACAAACTTCCCCTGTCCGCCTCATCCTGATACCCCCACCTCTCACCAAATCCCACTCCAAATCTACCCTCCTTCCACTGTGTGCTCTGGAATGCCTGCTTCATAGGTAACAATTGAGCTGTCATCTTAAACCTTTTCCTTCTCTTTCCATCTCTTCTAGCCCCCTGGCCATGCTTCCCAACACTGCTTGTGCTTTTCATTCGTAACTCCTGATTCGCTGGTCAGGGTAGGGGAGTTGGAATATTACTTGCTTCTCATGGCAGTAGAGGGAAAGAACCTGGAAGTGGCAATGGGGAGCAACTAGGATCCTAGTGCCAGCACGTCAGCTATACAAGTGGTCATATCTTTGACCTTGCAATCATCCACAAGTGTTCTGCTTCCGTGTTCGTGGACTCTGAAATTCCTTTATCTGATCATAATTTTTCCCTCTGCTGTAAAAACCCCTAACCCTGTTCTTTGCCTCTACCTCAACCTTTAATCCCTCAAGCCCTCAGTTCTCTGACAGAGAACTGGATGGAGAAGAGGAAATAGGCATTTATTAAGCACCTACTATGTGCCAAGCAGCTACTATTATCCCCATTTTACACTTGAGGAAACTGAAGCAGACAGACTCAGAATCACACAGCTAGTGAGTATCTGATGCAAGATTTGAACTCCCAGGTCTTCTGGACTCCAGATACAGTGCCCAGTCAGTTGTGCCACCTAGCTGTTCTGCCTCTCCTCCCCTCCTCTTGACCTCTGAGTGAACTAGATCAGTTCTATACTATCGCCTTCTCAAGTCCCTTGTCCAATTATCTCTCTCCCACTTGTAAAATTTCTTGTTTTAATTATTTTATATCACATATATTTATCTCTTTTTTTCCTTTTTTTTTTTTGGTCTGTATTTTTTTTTCCAGCCAAAGACAAGGTTTATTAGAACATCTGCCATATTGGCCAAACTCTTAAGGAATCTGAACATTACTGAGCTATTGGCTAGATTTTAATAATCTGAGCACCTTAATGGAAACAAGATGGATCTTATATACAGAAAGACTGGGAGGGATCTAGGAGTGGCCAGGTAGTCTGTGGGGACTGTGAGGTAATAGAACGCCTGGGACCTGGACCACCTGGCCAAGGGAGAAGGATTAAGGGTAGGAAGTGGGGGGTGGGGGGGCATAGGGAGGTAAGACAATGGAGGGCTAGGCTAGGTTAAGGGTTACAGAATTGGAAGATTGGATGTAGCCACAATGAAAGGCCAGTTGATGGGCTTATAGCCTCAGGCAAGCCCCAGAGATTTGGCTATGGAAATGTCCAGGGTTTTTCCTTCTGGGGTCCAGATCCCAACCCCATCATTCCTCCCCCAGACAAATGGGACCCAAATTCTTTTGGTGTAAGGGATAAAGGTCTCGGCTTCTGAAACTGCTTCCTGCTGGCAAGGGGCTCTAAGAAGAGGTTGACTGGAACCGAGCACAGACTGCATCCAGGGAATGATGGGGGGACCATTGGCTGGTACCCACTGTTTTCTATAAACTGTAGGTGAATGGCCTATAGCCTGGAAGACACAAATCTGACAGAAAAGATTGCAGGGCCCAAATTACAGGATAAAACATCTTTAGCTCTGTTTGGATTCAGATAACTCAGTTTTCCAATCATGCAGTATCAAATCCACCTCATAGCCAGACTTAGGAATAGCCAGGTGGGTAGCATTCCTTTTCAAAGCTAGGTGGCACAGTAGATAGAGCACCCAGCCCTGGATTCAGGAGGACCTGAGTTCAAATCCAGCCTCAGACACAGAACACTTACTAGCTGTGTGACCCTGAGCAAGTCACTTAACCCCATTGCCTAGCCAAAAAAAAAAAAAACTACAAACAAAATCAAAGGAACATAATGGGGAAACTGAGCCAGGAGGATCCCATCTTAGACTGAGGCTAAAATTGTCCTTTCGGCTTTTCCCAATGCTGACTTCTCACCAGTATCACATTCTCCAAGTAGCTTGTGGCATTTCTCTCAGATGGTGTATTTGATTATCGGATGGATTATTACATTCCATCAGACAACTCGAAATAAAATCCTATGAGCTTTTACCTCAAACAGCAAGTTTCACTAATCACAGCTTAGGAAAAACTTTTCCAGGATTTACATCTCAAATTTAAATTTGTCCTGGTGTAAAAAGCCAATCATTAGAGATTATTTTTATATACTTGCAAATTCTCAGCAAGACAAAACCAAACAAGCTTTTTGGCAAGTTTACACATTAAAACAATAACCAACAATAGCCAAATTATGAAAAGTTGCTTGACATAACTGATATAAAAAGTTCACCAATTTGAAACTTGAAACAAACCCATTACCAATCAGTTTTGTTAAATGCATTTCCAAATTACTTTGCACGGAGAATCAACATCTCATCATTAACCATTATAACTACAACTTTAAAAGAGCTTGCTTACCCAAGTTTAGAGGCCAGCTTCTTTAACTTGAGCAGGATGTACTAAACCTGGGTGATGCTTCCAAACAAAGGTTGCCCTACTGCCCAAGGCCGTTG